ACCGACGTACGTTACCCTTCCTCCTCTACTAACCTACCTACTACTCCTCCTACTACTAACTTACTAAACTAAACTAACTAACTAACTAACCCCCTACCCCCTAACCCCCTAACCCTAAACCTAACCCTACCCTACCCTCCTACTACTACTACTACCTCCCTCCTCTCTCTCTCTCTCTCTCTCTCTCTCTCTCTCTCTCTCTCTCGACCTCTGTTAACTTTTTTCACGAGAGCACCATGCCTGCTCTACCAGAAGAACCCATGTCTGCTCTGCCAGAAGAACCCCTTCTTGCTTCGAACCCTGATCGATTTTGCATGTTTCCCATAAAATATCCCCAAATTTGGGAGATGTATAAGAAAGCAGAGGCCTCTTTCTGGACTGCTGAAGAGGTCGATCTCTCTCAAGACCTTCAGCACTGGGATTCTCTCACTTCTGGGGAAAAACACTTCATAACCCATGTCCTTGCTTTCTTTGCAGCTTCTGATGGTATAGTCCTTGAAAACCTTGCGGGTCGATTCATGAAGGAGGTTCAAGTTGCAGAGGCTAGGGCTTTCTATGGCTTCCAGATCGCCATTGAAAACATCCACTCTGAGATGTACAGCCTCTTGCTTGAATCTTACATCAAGGATTCCAGTGAGAAGAGTCGATTGTTCAGGGCTGTTGAAACGGTTCCCTGTGTTGCCAAAAAAGCAGACTGGGCGCTAAAATGGATCAATTCCTCTGAATCTTTTGCAGAGAGGTTGATTGCTTTTGCCTGTGTTGAAGGTATCTTCTTTTCTGGTAGTTTTTGTTCCATATTTTGGCTAAAAAAAAGGGGTTTAATGCCTGGTTTAACCTTCTCTAATGAACTCATTTCAAGAGATGAAGGTTTACACTGTGATTTTGCTTGCCTTCTCTATGATCTTCTAAACCACAAGCTCCCTCAACAAAGCGTTCAAAATATAGTAAGGGAATCTGTAGAGATAGAGAGAGAATTTGTTTGTGATGCCTTGCCCTGTGCTCTAGTGGGAATGAACGGCAATCTGATGAGCCAGTACATCGAATTTGTGGCTGATAGGCTGTTGAATGCTTTGGGGTGTGATAAAATCTATGGGGTTCAAAACCCATTTGATTGGATGGAACTCATTTCACTGCAGGGGAAGACTAATTTCTTTGAGAAGAGGGTTGGAGAATACCAAAAGGCTTCAGTGATGAACAGTATTAATGGAGATGGGAAGAATCATGTGTTTAGGTTGGATGAGGACTTCTGAAGTTATTCCTTGTAACATAGAGATTTCAGGGTGTTTTTTTCTTCTCTCTCTCTCTCTCTCTCGCTAGATTTCAGGGTTCTCTTTCTTCCTCTCTATCTTTATCTCTCTCAGAATGGGCGTATTTGGTGTAATATGGTTCTTGATGAATGGATCAGTAAAAGGATTTATTTCTTCTCTCTCTTTGTACTTTGTTTCTTCTCCATGTCTGGGTACTCTCTTTCTATAAAAGAGGCATTTGTGCATTTTCGGTTGAAACCAGAGAGAGAGAGAGAGAGAGAGAGAGAGAGAGAGAGAGAGAGAGAGAGAGAGAGAGAGAGAGAGAGAGAGAGAGAGAGAGAGAGAGAGAGAGTAGAGTAGTAGTAGAGTAGTAGAGTAGTAGTAGTAGTAGTAGTAGTAGTAGTAGTAGTAGTAGTAGTAGTAGTAGTAGTAGTAGTAGTAGTAGTAGT